GGGTGCACAGATTGCAGTTTTCCGGCCGATTTCCGATCACCGATCTTTAAAAAGTCTGACCTGCCGATTCCGATTTTGGTTGATACCGATTTAATTATTTTTTTGCTATAACCAACACTGTGTTACAAGATCGCAATTCACTTTCAATGTTACAATCTTTTCTTGAAAAACATGCCCTTGAACAATAGCCTTGAACCATTATAAACTTGTTTTAACTGCCCATGAGGTATAGCCTTGACATAGAAATGAATTAAATAATAAATATTAATGAAATAAAACAAACTTTAGACTACAACATTGGTCTTTTGATTTTTTACATTTCAAAAAACAAAACTTCAACAAAAGATCAGAAAAAATATGGAATAGCAACTGATCTTAAGACACTCGCAGAGGTAAATAGATCGGTGGTTAAGATCGGTTTCATATGTAAATATCGGCCGATCACCAATCACCCTAAATTAAGGAAATCGGGGCCGATCGATCGGCCAGCCGATTTATCGGTGCACCCCTAATAAATATACATCTATATAAATACCCATGTAAACACACAAACAAAAAAGCTGTCATATGTGGACGCACTCTATATACTGTATATATCCAATGCACCTTATTCTTCCTTTGGCATATTCATCTTCTCTTTTTCACTATTTAAGCTGATGTAATGAGTAAATTCCTTCATTGTGAGATGAATAAAGTCAATCAATCAATCAAAACCCAAATTGTTCAACTAAAAAAAACATCTTTGCCCCTTCCAGACCTTGTACCATTTTAAACTATGTTTTGAGCTGATTTTTTTCCAGTTTTCAGAAAAAGCTAAGCATGGCCATGCTTTGAGATTCTGAGGATGGTTGTATTGCTCTCGGCTTTCGGAGGTCATGAAGGAAGGAGCTGCTCCGTCCAGTTTATAGTAGCCTCTGGTTGCAGGCTTCTACTCCAAAACTCACAGGAAAGATAGTCTTCCTTGAGCTATCTGAAAAATAGCTTAAAAAAAGAAACAGATTTGACTCAGACCATTTAAATGTCAATCTTTGTGTATCATACAGGTATCAGATTTAACGCTGGGAGTAGATTCAGTTGTTGTGTGGCCCGCTGGGTCGACGGTGGTAGGAGATCAAGGTTTTGTAGAGTGGTAGGTGTTTCTGTGTTTACGGATCTAAAAAGCTGAATCTACTCAAATGTAAGAGATCCTGACAGTCATGTACGGCTCTTTGTGCCAGTTGTTAAGCTACTTCTATAAAATACTGTGATATGGATGTTGAATTTGGCAATGTTTTGGTTAGATGGATGGATGGATGGATGGATGGATGGATGGATGGATGGATGGATGGATGGATGGATGGATGGATGGATGGATGGATGGATGGACATCGCTGTAGATTTGTTTATTTGTAACAAATTGTTTATGTATTGTGATTCTTTGATTTGCTAAAGGAAATCCATTTTTAACAAAATTCATCACATGTTATTGAAAGTGGGAATCAACTGGGGTTGGATATTTTTGACAGGAAAAAGTACTGGAGACACTTTGGTCATTCATTGACTTGAAATGAAAAGGCTTGATGATCCAGAGCATGTTTAAAACCTGAGTAGGTTTTTAAAAATTACTCTGAACAAACTAAAAGTAAATTGACATGACAAGCAGGGGATGGGTTTACAAAGTTAATTCATTAGTTTTACTAAATAAATTAACTTAAGTATTTCTTTTGATTGTATTTTCCAGCCCCACCGACTCCCATCGCTCCCCCAGAGCTCCTTGCTGTTGGCGCCACCTACCTATGGATCAAACCCAACGCCAACAGCATCATT